ATTGGTCGTAATTGATCATTTTTCAAGATTCGCCCAGGCTTATGCCACAACATCTAAGTCAGCAAAGACTGTGGCTGATAAACTTTTTAATGATTATGCCTTAAGATTTGGATTCCCCCTACGTATCCTTCACGATCAAGGTGGTGAATTCGAAAACCAGCTCATGTCACAACTAAAAAAAACCTCTGGAGTTCTGGGCTCGCGGACAACACCGTACCATCCTGAAGGCAACGGCCAAGTTGAACGTTTCAACCGTACACTCATATAAATGCTGAGGACCCTTACAGAGAAAGAGAAGTCCAACTGGAAAGAGTCACTGAACAGATTGGTTTTTGCGTACAACTGCACAAAATGTGAAGTCACTGGCTTCTCTCCCTTCTTTCTTCTGTTCGGAAGGACTCCAAGACTGCCGATTGATGTACTCTTCCGCTTGACACCAGAAAAGGGTACACCTGATCACAGAGAGTACATGCGAAAATGGCGAGAAGGGATGTAACAAGCTTATGACATAACAAGGGACAATGCAAGAAAATCAGCTGAAAGAGGAAAAAGGAACCATGATCGTAAAGTAAAGAGCTCAGAGTTGGAACCTGGAGACCGTGTCTTGGTTAGAAACTTGACCCCAAGAGGCGGGACTGGTAAACTTCGCAGCCATTGGGAGGACATCATCCACAAGGTTGTGCGCCGAGTAAATAAGGATGCTCCTGTATATGAGGTGGTACCTGAACAAGGAAAGGGGAGAGATAGTAGGATACTACACCGCAACCTCTTACTCCCCTGTGACCACCTACCTCTGGAAGTTCCCCTAAAAGTTGCCAGATTACGGAGAAAAGATTCAAGACAGACAAGTGACGGTGAACACAACAGCCAACAAAAAGACGACAGTGATGAGGACTCGGAGGATGAATGGTTTTACTCCCCGTGCCCTGAGCCACACCAACATACAAGTCCCACTGCTGAGGAGCACACTGATGTCTTGGCAGGCCCTGAACTCACAGCAGCAAAGAGAGGAACAAGGCCAGGAGAGGAACAAGAGACAGTGTTAAACCTGGAGGAAGATCAAGTGATGCCTGACCTGCTAGTGGAAGATGGAGCGCCAGAACAACTGGAAAATTGTGGAGACAGCCCTCTACTGCCACCCATGTCACCTCCTTCATGTGAGAACCACAGTGGAGATGAGCAAGTACAAGATAGGCCTAGAAGAGAACGGCGACCACCACAGCGATTCACCTATGATGAACTTGCTTATCCATCTTGTTACAGTTTGGGACTTCCAGCAAGGTCCACATATTGGCTTGACCCAGTGCACTATTATGGACCCCTTCAAGCAAGTTCTATGTGGCCAGAGCTGGCCCAGATGTCCACATATCATCCTGTGTTTGTGTATGGATGACTCGCCTTTTATGGACTTGGTATCAGCATCTAAAGACTTTGATTAGGCCAAGTGCCTGTGTAGGGACTAAATAGATTCAGGTTTTATGGACTATGTTTGTCGTCTTACTCCTTTAATTATTGAATGTCGAGGACGACATTTCTGTTGAAGGGGAGTGTGTAGTGGTTATAAAACTATTTTATATAATTAAAAGGGAAAATAAGATCTAGTGATCTGCGATCGATTATTTTGGTCTTTCAAGTTCAGCGCTGTAGACCAATACAATAAAAGGTTGCCTAAGTTTAATTAAGTTTAAAATGTATTTTCTTTAATGTTACGTTTCTGGTTATGTTTGTGTATAATTCTTGAAGAGTTCAACCTTCTTGCATTTTAAGTTTTGAGAGTTTGTTTATCGTTCGAGTCTCGATTGGTTTTGTCTGAATTGATGTAGGGGAACGCAATGCTTCTGCTCCTCCATTACAACACTGGAGACGAAAGCAGTAACACATTGTGTCCGTGTGTTTTCATTATTCCCCTTTACAGGTAAAGTTCTTACTTAAAAGGTGTGACTTAAAAGCTGTATTTAAGTTTATTATGTTCATTTAATGACCAGGGAGCGTTTGTGGTGAATGTGATAACTGTAGTTTTATTTAAGAGCTACTAGACTCACTTTAGCTTCCTGGCTAACTGTGTCCCGCGTGTGCTAAATTTCTTTTACTGTGCGGGCATAACCAAAATGTTTGTATGTAATGTTCACTCAGAATGTGACAGTGTAATGTTTAAAATTGTTTTGAAATACATTACAACACTGGAGACGAAAGCAGTAACACATCGTGTCCGTGTGTTTTCATTATTCCCCTTTACAGGGGCGTAACATTTGTATCAGTAATTATTTCTATCCTTGACGTGTTCTTTTAAATTTTTATCTTTCTTCAAATAGGAGGTACACCTGCACCTAGATCTGGACCTGTCATTTTCTGTCTGTTTGTTTCTTCTTCCTGTTCCTCTCAAACCCAGCCGGTCGAAGCAGATGGCCGCTCATCCTGAGACTGGTTTTGCTGGAAGTTTCTTCCTGTTAAAGGGAGTTTTTCCTTTCCACTCTCTCCTTTGTGCTTGTGCAGGATGGGAGACTGTGATGAAGTGACGATTCAACACAATCAGCTGCTTCCTTCTTTAGAGAGATAATTTTACTAATTGGCTTTTATATGGATGTGAATATGTCTGTTCAGTGTCCTGAGATGACTTCTGCTGTGATTAATGACTTCTGATGTGATTTGGTGCTATAGAAATAAACTGAATTGAATTGAATTGAGTTGAATTGAATGCGTCTGACAGGTCAGTGTCAGACCCAACTGGGTCATGATGCAACAGAACAATGAACCGAAACACAGCAGCTAATCTACAACAGAAGAACTGAAAAAGAAAAAAGTCAAGGTGTTGTAGTGATCCAAAGTCTAGACCTCCACTTGACTGAAAGCCTGTGGTGGGATCTTAATGAACTGAGCTGAAACAAATGTTTTCAAATGTCAATGAACCAAAGCAAAGTTGTAAAAAAGAGCTGGCCAAAATTAAAATTCCTCTACAATCAAGTGAGAGACTGATAAAGAAAAATAATACTGAGTTGTTGTTTTTAAAGGAGGCTGTATAATCTGTTGGATCATGGGGTGGACTTAGTTTTCTTCATTTATCCCACACAAATGTTCCATTTTGTCTTAATCTTTCCTAAATAAGTAACATGGTGGGATCTTGGAATTAGATTTGACCATTTCAGAACCTGATTTAGGGTGCATTCACACCAGCCCTGTTTAGTCCGCTTTAATCGAACTCTAGCTCGTTTTTCTAGAAAGTCCGGTTCGTTTGGGGAGGTGTGAACGCGTCATCGAACTCTGCCACGGAACAAAAAGGTGAACTCTGGCCCGGGCTAAAACCTAGGTCTCGGTCCGGTAGAAGAAAACTCCAGCGCGGTTCGAGTACAGTGTGAATGTAAACAGATCGGGCCCCGTTCCGCAGGGTAAACAAACACGCATTTCTCTGACCTTATATGGAGCCGTCAGCTGCCTTGTGTGGAAAAACAATATTCTCCATGGTCTTCTGTCTCATCTTCTGCTCATGCTAAGTCCATTTTTGAAAAATGACAAAATATAGCTCCTAAAATTGCTAAACTTGATGCCACTTCGTTTTTATTTTTATTTACAGAAAAAGAAGAAGATGTGTCTTCAGGGGTTTTTGTGTTGTTTCTTTCAGTAGTTCTTGGTGCAGCACCCCCACAGGCGAGCGGGGGAATAGGTTGGTTCAACAGGTTGGCTCGACTGCACAGTGCAGTGTGAATGCACACGCACCAGCTCAAATGTAAACAAAAGGTCATGAATATTGGTCCCGAACCGAGTCTACGGGACTATCTGGTGTGAAAACGACCTAAGAGAAGATTGTTTTCATGATATCCTGTAAAACCTTTTCTTCTATCACTGAAGTCGTTTGTTTCTCAGTTTAAACATCCTTAAGGTTGTTTTCACATCAGATAGTCCAGTAGACTCGGTTCGGTTCGAGACCAATATTCATGACCTTTTGTTTACATTTGAGCTGGTGCGTTTGCATTCAGACTGCACTGCGCTGTCGAGCCAACCTGTTGAACCAACCTATTCCCCCGCTCGCCTGTGGGGGCGCTGCACCAAGAACTACTGAAAGAAACGACACAAAAACCTCTCAAGACACGTCTTCTTCTTCTTGTGTAAATAAAAATAAAAACGAAGTGGCATCAAGTTTTAGTAGTTTTAGGAGTTATATTTTGTCATTTTTCAAAAATGGACTTAGCATGAGCATAAGATGAGACAGAAGACCATGGAGAATATTGTTTTTCCATACAAGGCAGCTGACGGCTCCATATAAGGTCAGAGAAATGCGTGTTTGTTTACCCTGCAGAGCGGGGCTCGGTCTGTTTACATTCACACTGCACTCGAACCGCGCTGGAGTTTTCTTCTACGGGACCGAGACCTAGGTTCTAGCCCGGGCTAGAGTTCACCTTTTTCTTCCGTGACAGAGTTCGATGACGCGTTCACACCTCCCCAAACGAACCGGACTTTCTAGGAAAACGAGCTAGAGTTCGATTAAAGCGGACTAAACAGGGCTGGTGTGAATGCACCCTAAAACAACAGGCTGTTTCGGAGGTTGTCTGGAAACACAGCAGTGAAGGCTACATATGGGGCAGATCTGGTTGGCAGGCCGTAGACTGACAAAGTCCTCTGGATGGGGGATGAAACGTTTCTCACTTAAAGAAACTGGTCCAGATGACCCAATTTAACCTTTGTTGTTGTTATCTATGGATGATTGAGCTTACAAACTTTAATCCTTAAAACAATTGTAATATTGTATGCACACCCTTACATGTCATCAAATATCAATCTACTGTAAGCAGGTGAGTTCAATACATCTTATAAACTAAAAAGAAGCTCAAAGTTTGATATGTTGTTGATCCTGATGTTTCAGGCAGCTCGCGCCTGTAATTGCAGTGACATTGGAGAAGTACACGAGCCTTATCAACACACAGAACAAGGCAAAGGGTAAACTCTTCAACCTTTTCCCTTTCCCCAAAGAGCACAGATCCCAGAACAAAGGTCAACCTGGACCTCACCTGATGGCGTAAGTCATGCGGTCCGGCCTCAGGCTCCTCATCATGCACAGCCTCTGCAGAGAGCTTTTACTCTTCCACTCTTGAGGGAACTTTTCTTTCTCTGGACACTCAGACTCCACAAACTTCTTCCAGCGTTTAGCTGAACCTTCAATGTCTCGGTCCAGGTTTCTGAACTCTTGCATGGAGCAAAGTGTCTGAGGGTTTCAAAAAGAGAAAATACATTTAACAAGCGGTAAACTGATGTCTCCCGTCGCTGAGGCATTTGAACAGTGACTGTTTCAAGTGTTTTAGATTCATGTTTTTTCTGGACTGGAATTGAACAGGGAATTAAAGTAAACCTTAATATTTTTGGTGCAATGTATTTAAGTGGGGAGGAATTACACTGTGGAGAAGAACAGTGGTACCGGGGTATGTATTTTTTGTTTGTATTTTTCTGCTTGTCCAAGGCGGTGCAGAGAGACAGATCCTGGTGAGTGGAGGGAAGTACATTAACCATGGCCAGGTGCAATGGAGGAGTCGGGGTTTGGTGGGCCCAGTAGATTAAACTTGAGCCACCCAGACATGCTGTAATTCATTTCAAGGTGGTGCACCGGCTGCACTGGTGAAGACAAACTGTCTAAGATTAAAACTGACCTGGATCCTGTATGTAACCGCTGTAAAGGTTGATCCACTCTAAGAAGGTGCTATTTAAGAGACTGAATTGAAAACAGCACCTCAGACTGAGGAAGTCTCTTGGATGAGAGACGAAACGTTTCTATATTTTTTTGCTTTGTTTTGTTTTTTGTTTTTTTGAATGTCCAGAGGACCAGATTGAACTTTTTTGGATTTTTCTACCTGGATTATTGAGCATGCATCAGGATACGCTGTAAACAGACTCCAGCTACACTCTTACACACATTCTGGACTTGTCCAAAGCTGTGGACCTATTGGCAATCTATTTTTGATACCTTCACTGGGATATGTGGAAAAACTGTGCACCCATCACTGCTCATTTGATTGTTTGTGGTGGTCCCTGTGGATACATCCTTCAACAAGTGTGAGAGGAATATGATTGCTTCTGGCTCTCTTCTAGCCAGGAGTCTTATTTTATGCAGATGGAAGGATCCACATTCCCTGATATATGAACACTGGATAAGAGAAGTTATGTGTCATATTCATTTGGAAAAGATTTAATACACTGTGGGGGGATCTGTTGAACATTTTTGGGACACTTGGTGGCCATTTGTGGCTTATATTGAAAGTGTGTCAGTGCCTGTCTGATGTATGCGTGCCTGTTTAGCCGATCTGGTATGGGAGGTTTTCTGTTGTTGTGTGTTATTAATGCACAAAACAATAAAAATACTTTCATCAAAACCTTGATCCACATTTGAGGAATCTATACTTTTAAGCAACATAAAAACTAGAAAGCATAACTTCCTAAAAGTATTGGGGTGACTAGTTTACATATGAAATGTGACACAATAGATGTATAAATGGCCACCACCATATGGTGGTGGCCATCTTGGATTTTGACTTGGCGAACCAATTTTTGATGGTGTCCTTTCTAACAGTGGCGTAGTCTACATTTTTGTAGTGGGTATACCTTGGTAAAGTTAGTTTTACGATGGACACCGTTGAAGCCACGGCGTGTGAATGTCCAACGTAAAATTAATTTTACCGCAGTCGGTCTGTATGCTGTGCTTAGAAACCAAAGTGCACTGGTTAGTACAATGTAATCACCAATTTATTTAGATTTTTAAACATATTGAACATTTCCAAATTTCTCTGATGCTTATATTTGAATAAAGGAACAACAAAACTTTGTACAACAGTTGGCTTTGTATCAAAGCAAAACATGTTCAAGTATTAAGTAGTAAGTACATAAGTATTAATTATACAATAATTTGTTGGATAAGTGAATGTAATAAACAAGTGCTGTATACGATAGATTGTTATGGAAGCGTTAAACTGCCATTTAACGTATCAATGCCACTTGCCTAATGACATGTATCATTGGGCACTTTTAAGTGGGTATACTGAAATTCTTAAGCTTTTCTAATGGGTATACTCTGCATGACCGCGTATCTTGTAGACTACACCACTGCTTTCTAACATCTAGATGCAGCCACACACCAAAATGGAAAATCGAACATTGTTTATTTTTGAAGTTATTATGATGACAAGGTTTACATGTGTACATATATGGCGGCAGCCATTTTGGATTTTGTCATGGTAACCCTTCCTTATTTAGCCACATTTTAAAATGGAAGTCAGTACCTCAGTTATTTTTCAAGTTATCCAGCTCACAACATGCACGGACAGATTGAATGGCAAGAGGTTATTTTCAATTCCTGCTCTTTTTTCTGCGACTGGCGACAAAAAGAGCTCAAAGTCCTGCCATGCTGTGATGAGTCATCCACATTCAAGTTTTTGATCACTTTCTTTGGACACAGCAAAACAACTAACTTTGTTTGCAAAATTTAAAAGAAAAAATAAAAGAAAGTCCAAAAAGCAAGACGATATCAGCAGACTGCTTTTTTCCTGTACCCTAAAATGAATAATAATAAGCGCTGAGTAAACACAGTCCCTTTCATAACTCCATGGGGGTTTAGAGAAATCTGCATTCTTTGCAGAAACAGTGAGGGCTCCAAGAGCTGACAGGCACCTTATCACATCTGTGGAAACCAGCAGCGTCGACCTCAAGCAGGTACTCACTCCCTGACAGGAACTATAAGAAAGTCGACGCTTTCTGAAGATGTGTTGATGAGTGCCGATGCAGCTACGCCTGAAAGTCCAACAAACATCAAGCTTTTTTTATAGAGCCAGATAATAGTTAGGAACTTACTTTTGTCATAATCTAAAAACACAAAATACCATTTTGAGGCAAACAATGCTTAATAAGTGTAACAAAACCAATATCAATATCAATCTAAAGAACGTGTACAAATATAAATAGTGTAAGAAAATTTCCTTTTATTTAAAAAATTTGGCATAATACATATGCCAATAATGGTCACTCAGGTCATCTGGACAGTTTATTTTTTTTGTGGAAAGTCGTTTCGCCCTCTATCCAGAGGGCTTTATCAGTCTGAGGAGTCCCAAGTAAACAGTTTTCCCCACTAAGCAGTACACTCCTTTAGTGGACCAACCAGTTTTCTGGTGATAAGATGGTTTCTTGGGGCTATCCTGTCCCCTGTCGCCTCATCCCAGGCAGGCAGCCACAGCCAAAATGGTTCAAGACATCAAAGTTCAAGCTCAAAAAAATATGTACTGGCCAGATGACCTAACTGACCTCTATTGGATTTTGTACCTGGATGATTGAGCATGAACTTTGACATAATACATGATTTTACCCATTTTGTCACATAATTTGCATATTTTCTGTCTGGAGATTTTTGGTCAAGGTTTATGGATGTTTTTAACCACTACGGCTGAGAAGGTTAACGGCCCATGAATCATGTGTTTGAGTTACCAGAGAGTTATTTTCTCTCTCATAGAGAGCTGAATAAGGAGCTGATTTGATCCTGCATGTGCAACTGGGAGGCCAAGGTCATCAGGGTGTCATGATCAGTGGCACCCGCTGGCCCCCCATCTGCTCACTTCCCTGCCCCTTCATGACATGACATGTTTTCTGCCCTTCTGGTCATAGTTTCTGTTCATGTTAATTATTCTCATCTCCTGTCAACCTGCACCTCTGCCTGCTCACTTAACCACACCCACTCTGCTGAGTCACTGCAATCAACCTTCATGCCTCTCACCTGATCATGTCTCTATTTAAGCACCATTCTCCCTCTCCACCATTGCCAAATTATTACACCACTCATGGTCCCTGATAGTGAAGCCTTCAATCATATTATCTTGTATCCTTGCCTTGCCTTGTCTTGTATCCTTGCCTGTTTTTGGACTCCTCACCTTGCCTACCCCTCTTGGATTTGCCTGCATATCTGACCTCGGTAACGACCTCCTCTTCTGCCTATGACCACAACTCACGGATCACCCTTTTGGATTACCCGTGTACCACCGACTCCCTGTGTTTGACCCCTGCTTTGCCCTTTGGACCAAACCTGCATTGCCCCATTGTTCACAGCATTGAAGGCCTCCTTTTGCAGCTGCTTTCCCACCTGTTCATCTCTTTAACATCTGACAGGTGGCTCTCACCCCACCTGCCTGCAAAGACATGTTACTGAAATTGGATCCCGAGACTCCAGCAGCATAATAAATAAAAACTGTTCTTGTTTTTACACTCCTGTGTCTGGCTATTTTGAATCAAAAACTCTGGTTCGTGACA